TAAGCTTTTAACTCAGTGCATAAAATTTTCGCACCCCCTGAAATTCCATCTCGCACCCCAGGTTGGGAACCCCTGCTTTAGGGTAAGTCAAAACCTGGCAAATCACATTACGGCTTAGTGCCCTGTGCAAACCTTATTGTGCTAAACCATGGCTATTTCACTCACAGTAAGCTACAACTGGTTGGATTTGCACAATTCAATAAATCATAAATCATAGTTTATAAATCAGACAGCACAATGTGATTTGTTTGGTTTTGACTTCATGCAATGTGTGAATCTAAACATTAGGATACTTTTGACAAAAAAGCAACCCCCTCCTTATCTGAAACACCGGGAATGAGTCTCAATGGGTTTTATATACAGTATTCAAAGCACAGAACTGCATTTTCCCAAAACAGTTAAGAATTTTTGCAGTGGGGGTAGAAGGGGAAACTATGTATAGTGAGATGGGCAGCATATATAAATTTGGTAAGTAAGTAAGTAAATAAGCACAGAAAACATTTTCAGAAATGTCGTCTGGTTTTGAAATTTGCCCTTTCCTAAATCAAGCCACACAGAGCTACTCACCAGTAATATGGTAGACTGAATTAAAACCTAAGCCAAATTGACCAACAGTAGATGGATCATCTTCCTTATGACTGATACCAGGACTTTTGATCCCCTCCCAGTCAGCCTCAGAGAAAATGCCATTATTGTAAGCCAGAAGTGCAGGTCCTAAAAGAGAGAAACATGGACTTACCCATATTCCTTTTTTTTTTTTTTTTTACATATTATTCCTTGTAGCATTCCTCTTGCAAAGGACATTTTCCCAGCCCACTTTGGCCACTCCCTGGTCCCTCTATCCCATGCACTCCTCTTTACTTCTGCCAACCTCTAAGTGCTGGGAGTCTGCAGGGAATACCATGGGTCAGTCAGTGCTCCCTCCAATCAATCACAGGAGAACACAAACTGTCATTCAGTCAAGGCTCCACCCTCTGAACTACAGTAGCTCCTGGAGTAACAAACCCCCCTCTAAGCACTGCTGCACACACCCCTGTGTTTTCAGGATGTGCTATATTTGACCATTTTGCAGAAGGTCTGAGTGGTTGCTCTAAGGCAAATGCTGCCTAGCTGCCAACACACTATTCTTCCTGCCTATAAAGTCCCACTGATAGCTGAGATAATGATACAACCCCACACTTTTGTAACCTGGTGGTATCTTGTCAGCCCTTCCAGGCAGGACAGGTCAAGAAACAGGCAGGGCAGGGATTTTAAGAATGCTGTAATAAGGTAGAATCTCAGACTCTTGAAAACTTATCCAAGTTTCTCTCTGTCCCATCTTATAATAAACAACATCAAGGCGTGGTTATTTGACCTTCTTTCTCACATTCCCCTTTTCCTCAGGAGTTGCAATCTTTTTCATTCTCCCCTATGCCCAAGATCAACTCTACATTACATATCCCCCACAGCTCCAACCATGGTTTTAGGTTATAGTGCAGAACCTCAGTGACTCTATCTTCGTGAACAATTACAAGGATCATAGGCTGGGAAGGAGAAGAAAAAACATGCAGTACTAATACAGGTAATCCTCATTTAACGACAGTAATTGGGACCAGAATTTCTGTCGCTAAATGATGCAGTCGTAAAGTGCAACATTGCATGACTGCATCACTTAGCGACAACAGTTCCGGCAGTCCCTGGTTGCCATCGTTAAGCAAGGACCATGTGGGTTGTTAAGCAAGGACCTCACGTGATCGCGACTTCCAACTTCCTACTGGCTTCCAATTGACTTTGTTTGTGGGAAGCTGGCAGGGAACATCACAAATTGCAATTACATGACCACGGGATGTTGCAACAGTCAGAAATTCAGGCAGGTTGCCAAGCACCCGGATTGTAATTATGTGACTGCAGGGCACTGCAATGTCTAGAACTTCATTTGAGGTGTGAATAGGGGAAAAAAAACCTGTATGTCAACCCAAGAGCAACATGGAAATACCTCAGTGCTGCATTGATGCCAGATGGGCACCAGGGCCACAGGTGGAGGGGCCCAAACCAAAAAGTTGCCTTTCAGTCAGCTGAAGAACAGCAAAGCATTGGTAAACAAATGCTGTCGCTTTTACAAGCAGAATGTATATTTGATCTAAGGTCAAACATACAGAATTCACCAAAGCTTATTTGGATGTAGGTTACGCATAGCATTAGTAGAGCCAGCCTGGTCTGGTGGTTAAGGAGGGAATGGAAAATGGCTTCTGAAAAAATATTGCCGAGAAAACTACAGAGACTTGTCCGTGTAGTGCCAGGAGTCAAGACTAACTCAAAGGGGAAAAATATATATATGGCGGGGTGATTTCTGCACAAACAGCCATCCAAGGCATCTTAAATTAGGGACATCCATTCTGTGAGGAACCTGATAGAAACATCCCAAGAAATCCAATCTAGAAAATTTCAGCATTCTCATGTGAAAACTTATAACATTTGGGGCTTTTAAAACCTTCCTTTAATTTCTTTATTTAACTATAAGAAGGGGAATAACATCAAATTACATGGTGCAACAGGCCCTGCTGCCTGCAAAGTTGGCGGTCTCCCGCCATACGATGTACACCTAATAGAAATGGAAGGCCATTCCTTAAATCCCATAATAACGCAGTCTCCTTCTGCTACAAGATACCAAGTTTTCCTTCTCTCAATTAAATATGGATCACAGGCATTTGTGACAGGATTTTGTATCCCAAGCCACACAACACAAATCTCCACAATCAGGATCCCACCCCACTTGACAGTTGGAATTATTTCTCAGCTAAGCTGAACAGCTCCTAGTCCTCCACAGGTCCTGCTCTATACCTTGGGTGCTTGCCAGTCCATCAGAGAAAAGGCTTTGTGTTCCAAAACTCCGTTCATCATAGAGTAAAATCACCTCTTCAGCACCCGCATCATCTGCATTCTGGATCAGCTCCTTCAGGAAGAAGCAGAGAACAGATTCAGGTAGAAACATTAAGCTATGACTTTACATATATACCATTCCTTTAAACTCATCTGATCTGAAGTGCCAGACATCTCTTCCCACTCTCTCCTGAAGGGTCCTGGGCCCTCCCTTCCAAACTTTCAGGCTTCATCCCTCCATCTCCATCAGTTTCAATCTGCAAGAATCCCTCACTGTGATAAATGCAAGAGACTAAATGTACAGTCAATATGTAAGTATATTTATTTATGTATAGGCAGTCCTCGTTTAGCAACCACAACTGGGACCGGCAGCTCTGTCATTAAGTGAAGTGGTCACTAAGTGGGGAATCATGTGACCGTGACTGTGCTTTCCTTTTCCTCACTCCCCTGCCCTTTGGAATGCTCACCCCGGTGCTGGGATAATTAACAAGAAGGGAATTAATGTTTGTATTTACATTCATTGGAGAGGAAGG